AAATGAGGGGAATGTTATGAAATGGCTCCCTTTGCCCATTGGGGAATATTTTTCTCTGCCAAAGATTTTATTTGGTAAGATGTTTTTAAATTGGAGATCCCTTGACCTTGCTACTATTTCCTTTGGGTATATGGTTAGTTCCTTTTTTATTGTATTTTGATCAGTTACAAATACAAGGTAATTTTTAATGTGAGTGTGGGGTATGCCAAATAAAAATATATAAAAGCAGCCTTTGCACAATAAAAATAGTAGTTTTTAAGTGCTTCTTAAATCATAAGGAATGTTATAGGGGAAAATTCAGTAAAAATAATGTAGCGTAGATTCACCACAGGTAGATAACACCAAATAACCAAGGGAGTAGACTTAGTCCAAGAAAGCTTATGCTATCATCTACCTTCTCTACAAGATCCCTTTCCACATTGGTATTCCAGAATAAGACATCAACATCCTTTCTGTATCATATTGATTGTTATGCTAACTCATCAAATGTTGCCTATTTATTAATTTATTTATTTATATTCCCTGCCTTTCTTTCCGGGGAGACTCAAGGCGCAAACAGTGACACACTTTGCTCAATTTAAAACACAGCAAAAACTATTTGTTTGTTTGTTTTTTTTAAAAAAACCAATCTGTACTGTGTGTTTTTGGTTAAAAATACAGTAAAATACAATTAAAATGCATTTCAAAACACACCTGCCCAAAAAATCCTACCCACAACCTTCCCAGCAACATGGCCCTTATCTTTTTCCAAATGCCTGCTTGCAGAAAAAAGTCTTGACCTGCTTGTTATGTAATATGAAAATAAGAATATTTCTTACATCATATTCTATGATGTAAAACAAGTGACAGAAAAGTTTAAAAACTCTGAGTTTTAAAAAGCTAAATAACAACAACAACAACAACAACAACAACAACAACAATGTTTTATTGAAGGCTTTCATGGCTGAAATCACTGGGTTGTTGTGAGTTTTCCGGACTGTATGACCATGTTCCAGAAGCATTCTTTCCTGATATTTTGCCTGCATTTAAGGCAGGCTTCCTCAGAGGTTCAGGGGTCTGTTGGACCTCACAAGCTCTGAGGATGTCTGCCATAGATGCAGGTGAAATGTCAGCAGAGAATGCTTTTGGAACATGGCCATATAGCCCAGAAAACTCACAACAACCTAATCATAAAGTTTATTTATACCTCGCCCTCTCCCCAGGGGACTCAGGGTGGCTTACAGCATAAATAATACAATAAGCACAATACAATAAAATACATATAATGGAATAAACAATTAATAACACATTCAAACAATATAAACCACAAAATACAGAATAGTCAAGTAACAAGATTAACAATTAAATTATAAGCATTAGGTTAAAACACTGTTGTTCCTATGAGCTAAAAGGGGGCTTGTTATCATAAATCCATATCCTAGAGGTTGACAAATCACTGTCAAAGGCCTGTTTAAATAACCAGGTCTTCAAATCCCTCATAAATGCCAGGAGGGTTGATGCCTGTCTAATACCCCTGGGGAGGGTGTTCCAGGTTGTTGGGCGGGGGGGGGGGGCAACACTGAGAAGGCCCTCTCCCTCATCCCCACCAAACTTGGTTGCGAAGGAGGTGAGACTGAGAGGAGGGCCTCCCCAGCTGATCATAAGGTTTATATGGGGGGATGTGGCGGCATAAGTAGACAGGACCTTAGCAGTGTAGAGCTTTATAGGTAATAACTTTCACTTTGAATTGGTCCTGGAAGCAAATAGGCAACCAGTAAACCTGCTTCAAGGGGGGGGGGGGGGGGGGTAATATGATTTCTATAAAGATAATGTGTCAAGATTTTTCAGGATCAGTCTTGAAATCTATTTTAAGTGATACCTCCATTCAAAACTTCATCAATGAGCATTCATGTGTCATAGATCTGCAAATAGCATCAAGCTAGGACACTTTATCAATAGAAATGAGAATTTGACAATTATGTGGGTGGGATGTAATGATTATAAGGGGAGCATAAAATGTACTTACCCTAGTATTTACTAATGTATAGTTCTAGAAATTTTAGTAAAAAATCAATAAAAGCTGGATTGACTTATCCATGAGTCAGTGTGAATACTGTGCCTTAATTCTTATAAAAGAAAAGGAACCACCCACCTTCTTAGAGTAGCGTGATGAAAGGCAAGAGCTTAGTTCATTCCAGGAGAACCTGAAAGAAACACTGACCCGTTCTATTTTTGGCCATGGTGCCACTTCTGGCTATTTTGAATGTCCCAATGGGGAACAGCCTGGGGCAGATCCCCTGAAACAGTACCGACGCTTCCCTCTCTCCATGGGATGACCCTGGATGTATCCATGGATCAAATTGAAATCCATATTTTTACCCAAGACACTCAATTTACACTCAAATAATTATGAGGATAGCTGAACAACAAACAGTATAAAAATACGCACTAATGCCTCACTGTACCTGCTAAGGACTCAATATTCAAATGGTACCACATCCTATCTGATAAAGCTTAACATACTCAGCCCTGATTAGTACTTGGATGGGTGACCAGCAACAAATACTAGGTGCTGTAGACTATATTTAAGAGGAAGAAATATTAAACCCCACTCTGAGTAAAATAAGAAATTCATGGGGTCCCCATAAGTCAGCAGGTAACTTGAAGGTGCACACACATACTCATATTCCTTGTATTGAATGAGAAAAGAAGGAATATGGCACATCGACTTCAAGGTACCAAAGAGCTGCCACAATGATACAGACATCAAAAGAATAGTTAAAGTTTTGGAAGGCTTTGAATGATGTTAAAAGACATGTGAAAGAAAGAAGGACATTTCTGCTTTCCTTTCTGACATTATGTTCTCACTTGGACAGCATTTAGAAAGTGATATTTAAGAAGTTATCTTAGCCTTGCAATTCTTCCTCCCAAAAGTAATTCCAGTGTTTAAAAAGTAATAATTTGCTTGACCCAAGGGATCCAAAATACTTTTAGTCATTATTCTATGTTTTAAACATTTTAGTTGAATGTTCTATGTTTTATATTAGTCTGTGTCCAATGTTTTATAGTTTACTGGTTTTGATCTATTGTTATATGCTATTTTAGTCATGTGATGTATTTATATTTTGTGGCACATTGAATTTTGCCATTTATTTTGTTATGAACTGCTTTGAGTCCCCCCAGGGGTTGACAAAAACAGTATATAAATGAAATAAATAAATGAAAGTGAATAAATTGTTTGAAAAGAACTAGTTTCATTCCCAGACTTGTCAAGGCACAGTCAGGATTTGTGACACCCACATCAGTTGGGTTTTTGTTTAATAAAAATGACAAGGAGGTTATTTGAAGGATTTGAGCTTGGACTGGGTACAGGAGACACAAGTAACAAGTCATATGACCGTAAGGCATACAGAGAATGTTAGGTTTGTGTGGTCCGGTAACATATTGGCAACAACCCTGTATGTATGTTGGGGAAATAAGGAACACGGTACATTTTCCGTTTTCTGCAAAGGAAAGCCCTGCTCTTAATTATTTTTAAATAGTTATTTTTTTATTTATCAGCAAAAGGTACAGCATGCTTTTGAACTATGTGCTATTCCATCTTCACACAACCCTATAACTATTTAAATTAACTACATAGTGAGGCCAACCTGTAACTTTTTTAATAACTCCGGAGTTAACAGTTCTATCATAAAAAGAATCAAGTTATGCCTTCGGAAGTTAAGCATAATGTAATCACAGCTTACCTGTTAGAAAAGGAATTAATTACTTTCAATGCGGGCATTCAGAAGATAATTCTATGTCTGCATTGAAATCTTATTTCCATGCTAGTTCTTAATGGAAACAATTCAACTGTGAGCATAAAATGATAAAAAAATATTACATGAAGAAAATTTAGATACCTTTTGTGTGTAAGAAACTGCAAGTCACTTCTGGTGTGAGAGAATTGGCCATCTGCAAGGACGCTTCCCAGGGGACGCTTGGATGTTTTGCCATCCTATGGGAGGCTTCTCTCATGTCCCTGCATAAGAAACTAGAGCTGAGAGATGGGAGCTCACCCCGTCTCCGGATTCGAACTTAAATCCTGCAGCCTAATAAGCTTGTTCTTACTAGAGATGACCACATTGTGCAGCGAATACTTCAAAATGTTGCAGCTATTGGCCATTTAGAAAAGCAAAACAAAAAGTAGTGTGGTTGTGTTGATTTATTGTGTAGGAACAGATGCATAGGAGTTTTCCTTTTGTTATTGTTATTCTTTTAACTTGTTTTTAACTGTTTTTATTATGTTTAAGTATTGTATTTGCTTTGTTAACCGTGCTGAGTCGCCCTGAGGGATGAGAAGAGCAGTATACAAATATAGTTAGTAAATAAATAAATAAATAAATAAATAAATTTTCCTTGGTCTGATTAAAAATGGCTTATGGGACAGGCAGCAGGGAACAAACTGTATTATCTCAGCATCTGTGGTCCTGATCGTAGAAGTCACATATTCATTTGGGTGGTAAAGACTGCATGGAAGGAAGTGAAGAGTCATCTTCACTAACTCTAGACGCAAGCTCCATGCATTCAAGATGCCATGGGTAGGAACATAAGAGATCATAAGAGACCATGATATGTTGAATCAAACCATTGGTTTGTTTAAACTAGCATTATCAATTCTGACTGGCTGAAACTGCCCAGGGTTTCAAGCCAAATTCTTTCCAAGACCTAACTGAAGATCCTTACCATGACATGGTGGCATCCATCCCCTTAACTTCAGAGAATGTTGAAATGGAGACACTTCATTCTCTGGAAATGCTACTGAATGTATGGGAGTGTACAGACTTTACAACTATGTCATGAAACAGGGCCTTTGAATGAATAGTGACAAGGACTGGAAATCCTTCTCATATTGTGCATTTATGTGTGCCCAAAAGAATGTCTATATTGTCCCTGTAAAAAAGTTATAGCAGATTCATAGCTGACAATTGTGGCAGAAATGTTTTCAATCTTGTCCACTTTTTTTCTCCCTCTTCTTTTAGTTGCTATCCTTCTAAAAGATGATTACTTCATCAGCGGTGCTGGACTCCCAGGCAGATTCAAAGCTGAGAAAATTGAGTTTCACTGGGGTCAGAGTAACGGCTCAGCTGGCTCAGAACACAGCATCAATGGGAGGAGATTCCCTGTTGAGGTTAGTTGAAAGCAATCATATTCACACTTTTGTAATGAAAAACATATTGGTTTAACATATTGCTTTTGTAGGGACCAGTATGAGATTAATTGTGGTATACTTTGCAATTCTTTGTATTTACGGAAAGTTTAGGTCACCATACAATTCTTATTCTCATCCAGAGCAAACCCATCAAAGCAATGGAATTTACCTTGTTACCATTGATTGAATGGGTTTGCTCTAGCTGCCTTGATTTCTATATAGAGACAAGAGAGGGATTTAAAGCAAATAGATAGATGCCTGCAACTAACCATGACATTTCTTAATTTCTTGATCTGAAGTTATACTTTAAAACAGAACAAAATAGATTGATTTAATGCTCTCTTTTTTCATGTCAGGAGCGACTTGAGAAACTGCAAGTCGCTTCTTGTGTGAGAGAATTGGTCGTCTGCAAGGACATTGCCCAGGGGATACCCAGATGTTTTTGATGTTTTACCATCCTTGTGGGAGGCTTCTCTCATGTCCCCGCAAGGGGTGCTGGAGCTGACAGAGGGAGCTCATCTCACTCTCCCCGGATTTGAACCTCCAACCTGTCGGTTTTCAGTCCTGCTGGAACAAGGGTTTAACCCATTGTGCTACCAGGGTTAAAAATGGGGAGATATGCTAAGCTACTAAAGATATGCTAAGCTACTATGCTTAGCATACTAGTTACAGGATCAAGGTCAATGCTTGTATCGTAAAGAGATTCCTAGTTAGTATAGCTCTGTGTCAGGCAGACTATGAGAGTTGTTGCAAAAATGCTGGTGGACAAAAAACATAGGATAAGATTCCGCATTGACAGAAATATATGTAACAATGAAGCTCTCTCCTCCTAGCTACATAAACTAATGTTCCCCACCCTAACCCAAGTCCTATCACTTTATCCAGACAGTGCTCCATTCAAAAGGTTTCTAAGCTATTGCAGAAATAATTACTGCAGCATTCTTCCAGTCAAGTGACATTTCTAGATGGACAGATGAAAAGACCCCTTGGTGTCCTGCTGTAACTTTGTCCTAACACCCCCTATTATCATTTTGCCAAACTTTGCACCCTTTGGTTGGGCTGTTCTCTGACTTATGAGCAGATTTTTGGGGTCATGTTCAATGGTTAAAAATTATAAGCATGGAATCTAAAAGTCTGGCTTACAGTCTTATAAATATTAAACAGGTTGCCAACCAAGGAGTTACGAACGCCCACAATCTGTATTGACTCCTTCTCTCTCTTTGAGATACTTGCATCACAGATTGGGTTACCATGACCCAAAGAACTAGCTTTTATTAAATTATGTACTTCAGCATTTGAATTGCCTAATGAATAAACAGAAGCACACGTGGTTTGTAATGACATGTCAAAGAATCACAGTGTCAAACAATGTACAAGCATTGACACCTTAAAAGGTTTTATACAGCTCTGAGTATTTTGTGTATATTAAATTGTAACAAAATCAATTAAATCCATTTCAATTTCATATTGTGACACAATAAAAAGTGGGTAAGTCAAAGTGGGGTGTGAGTAGTGACTATTTCTCCATAGCATTGTAGTTTGTGATAATTTTGGGTTAGAAAGTTGAGCTACCAAAAGTGCACAGAGACCACTGGTCCTGTATTGTAATCTGGAAGATACAAAGACAGTGAAGCTTTGTACTGCAGTCCCACTTCATTTTGTTCTTATGCGGAGGAAAGCTGCTAGATAGAACTCATCGTGGTAAATTGAAATGAGATCATGAAAGTAGGATCCTGATTGTGCTCTTACCATACCAGCTCCTTAAGATGAAGAAAGAAACTAATATATAAATCGACCTCATGTATAATTCAAGGCCAGGTTTGGGGAGCTAAAATTATAGATTTTGATGTAACTCATGGGCAAGGCAATGATCATTCTGCAGAAAGGGAAAAGAAACAATACCACCTCTGTCCAGCTCTTCATGGCCACTCTCACCATTTCCTTGCCAAGACATTCAACTGCAAGTTGCTTCTGGTGTGAGAGAATTAGCCATCTGCAAGGACGTTGCCCAGGGCATGCCAGGATGTTTTGGTATTTTACTATCCTTGTGGGAGGCTTCTCTCATGTCCCCGCATGGGGAGCTGGAGCTGACAGAGGGAGCTAATCCACGCTCACCCCAGATTTGAACCTGCAACCTGTCTGTCTTCAGTCCTGCTGGCACAAGGGTTTAACCTACTGTGCCACCGGGAGTTCCGATGGCGCAGTTAAGGTACAGTAGTCACTTTGATTGTGGGGAGGAGTGTTGTATACACACAGGGGCGGCTCAACCCATTATGCAAAGTAAGCATTTGCAGTATAGTTGATTTTGCCTAGGGGAGCTCTTGAGGCGCTCTTGGGGGAAAATAGACCTTGACATATGCGAGTTGTAGTTACTGGAATGTATAGTTCACCTAAAATGAAAGAGCATTCTGAACTCCACCAATGATGGAATTGAACCAAATATGGCACACAGAACTCCCACGACGAACAGAAAATATATATCAGTGATTGGTTGGGGGGGGGGGGAGCAAAATACTGTTTGCTTACTGTTGAAAATTACCTAGGGCCGCCTCTGTATACACAAGTATGGTTTGTATGAGCAAGTGTATACACATGTGTGCAGGCTTAACTATACTTCTTTGTTTCTATACAAACATACTTTAAAGCACAATATTTGGCTGAAATTACTAACAAGATCAGAATTGCAGCCCAAACCTGATACAATAATCAGAACTGAGTTTTAAGGTCGTCACCCTTGCATAATACTGAGCAAACAGAGTCAAGTATTAAGTATTATTTTCCTTTGCCAATGGTTCATTCTGTGTAGAGATAATTGTGCAAGACCGGAACATCATTTTGTTTGTATGGAAATACTGAAGTTTGCCTTAACCTAGATAATGAGAAGAAACACTGAATTGGACTGACTTCCTCATAATTATGTCGTCCCTCTGAATATCTGCATTTCATGAATGTTATTTTAACTTCTTTTGGAAATGGCGTTATGCATTTCTTTTTGGAAATGAGGAATTTCTATACAATAATGATTAAAAATGGGACACTTATGTAGGTCCACACTGAAATATTTTCTATAGCTAAAATTAAGGGCAGACCATTTGTACAAATGTATGATTGGTTAGAGAATTAAGCATATGAACTATGGAAAAAGCAGCTAATAATGTTTATGGTGAAAGGAATCAATGCAAGGTAAAACTATCTCAGTAATGATACCTTTGAGAATAGCCCTTTAAGAAAGTCTATAGTCTGCTCCCTTGACTGTTGTGTACTTAGAGCCTTCCACAATTGATCCCCAAATTCATTATGTATAAGGAATGTCTGTATGCAGTTCCAGCAGTTAGTCTGTAAAGCTAATTGTAGTTCAACGTGCAGGGACTTGTTGACACGCTAATTGCCTGACAATGAAACCTTCCTGCCAAATAAGGCCATACCACATGCTGGAAGCTCTATTTCTAGGAAACCTATAAAGGGAAAACAATAGCAGCAGTGATGGTCTACTGATGTCTGGTGGCCCATAGGCAAAGGTCAGATATTTCTGGAGTTGTCCTCCAGGTTTGGCACTACTCTCCTCTTAGAGCACTTGAAAGCAAAATGTTATTGGAACATAATTGAGAAACCAGATGCGGAAGGAACGAAGCACACATTAGTTCCAAATACTGCTCCACTGGGGAAAGTTGACAAATCTGCTTCATCTGTAGAGTTTGCTCTGCGATCACAGAGTTTGTACTTGCGTTTGCTGGAAAACAAAATCCATGTTATTCGTACTTGCTGTAGGGAGTGCCAAGGCTATGGGCAGGGCTTGGAAGCGCACAGAAAACCAAATCTAATTTGAAATGTCAGACATGAGACTGAACTTTATTGTTTGGCTATTCTGTTTGTGTTTTGATCATCACAACTAATGCGTCAGGTGGTACAGTATTGTGATTTAATTGGTTTCCTTCACTGGAGCCCATCTGGATCATATTTTTGTGAGTGATTTATATGTTAAATTAGGAAATAGGAGATATGTGAACATCCTTTTCATCATGTTCTCTGAAGACTAATTAGATCAAAGGCAATGCATTTATCCACTTGTTGTGCTCTTTTAAAATTTTCTTTGGAAGCATCCATCTTATGAATATGCTTGATTATACCATATTTCCTGGAAAGAAATGGGTCTTAAGTAAAAATGCTAACACCCTTCCTTCCTTCCTTCCTTCCTTCCTTCCTTCCTTCCTTCCTTCCTTCCTTCCTTCCTTCCTTCCTTCCTTCCTTCCTTCCTTCCTTCCTTCCTGTCTCAGTGCTATGGAAAATCAGGAGGAACATCCTTTTGTACTTAGATGAGTAGCCAAATTTGGGTTGATGTCTGTCTGGGATGCCATAGATAAAATCTTCTTTCCTAACAAAACTTGTGATGAAAACTTCCAGAGCCTCTGGCTATGAAACCCCACATTGTCCAACATTACCTTGCAACTAAAATAAAAAATTAGTGATTGTACAATGCTACAAAGTAGTGGTTCTCAACCTGTGGGTCCCCAGATGTTTTGGCCTTCAACTCCCAGAAATCCTAACAGCTGGTAAACTGACTGGGATTTCTGAGAGTTGTAGGCCAAAACACCTGGGGACCCACAGATTGAGAATCACTGTTCTAAAGTGTTAATCTATTTTAATTTTCTCTCTATGGGTCTTCTTCTTAATGTTAGCAGTTCTAGCACATTGAATCCTCACAATATAGGCTAATGAAAACAGTCATATTTGTCATCATTGCCTATCTCATGCTGTTATATTTTGTATAACTTTCTCCTTAAACTTCAGTTTGATAGCTCCTCACCCTATGCAATGTCCAAATGACTTGTGGCATCTCCACACTAATATTACCCATTTTGATGTTGAAAACTAACATAATTTCCTCACCACTTTTTATTAGTTGTGAGGTTGAAGCTTCTTCTCCTCATGTCTGTGTCTAGCTAGAGCAGTGCTTATCAACCTTCCTAATGCCGTGATCC